AAACATTTTTTTTTTTCCTTTCCCTCGACAGCGCAGTGAAAATAATATGTTTACAAAAATATATGAATGAAATGGAAGCTTTAAAAAATCAAAGGGATCGTGCATTTTTACGACTGGAAATAACATATAAACTTGCTTTCTAGAAAACAAAACCGATTTTTCAACGCATCGCATATCATGTATGGATGTGGCTATAATATTTTCTTACGGAAATTCGAAGCTTTCGAGATGAATTCGATACAATCGAAGCTAGTCAATTTATTCATTTTTCGATGCATTCAATTATTGACTCGATCCTCACTCGAGTCAAGAAAATAAACGATGACGTAAAGGTTCTTTTACCAAGAGCAAACAAAGCGCCGAGCCTCGGGCTGGGTGCTTTGCCATTTGATCGCACATCAAACGGACGAGGTAAATCTGTTTGGGAGGCAGCAGTTTTTACGGTAAATAGCGAGGAATGGAAAAAAAAAATTCTACAAACGTCAAATTGTGCGGAAAGAGAAAAAGGGCTCGCAATCGCAAAGCGAGATCAAATAGCCCCAGTGACGCCTGCCGGTAATTCTGCTGGTCATTTCCCGGCACGTTGGACGCAGCGAGCCCCGATATATCCCTGCCGAGCCCGTTCTAGCTTCCATTTGATAAGTAATACGCACACTCACTACAGTTTAGGTAAATATTAGGGTAATCGGTTCGTCTGGACTCTCCAAAGTGTCCAAAAACCGAAGCTCGAGCTCCCCCGAAAACAACAACTGAGTTTTGACCTACGTATTTTCTGTGCCGAGCTCAGCTTGGTCGGCCAAGCAAAGATAATATTACGACATACAATAAACACAACTGAGTCCCCGAGGGTGAATTTTTTATCTCGTTGTGGAAAGAAATTTGCTCACTGAAATTTATGTGACGATTGTGTGGTATATGTATTTTTCTCTCTTTCCGTATGAAGGCAGATACGTAAATTGTACGGTAATAACTTTTCGAGAGATCGAGTATGAAAGCCCGCTGTAATTGCCAAGCTTCTGTGCAAGATTATACGTGGGAGCACACACGCGACGACGGTTGTAAACACGTAGGTCGTGTACGTGTAACATCAGAGCTCGGTGGCATTTATTGCATTCCCTTTATCGGCTGTATTGCGGGGGCAGTGATGGTGGCTCGCCGGCACGCAAATGTGTGCTCGCGTGATTGTACGTACATACGGAGTCCCTCCAAAAACATTGGGGGAAAATCAGTTTCGTACCGTAATAAGATTTTACTCGTGTGGAATTAAAATGTAAAAAAAAACCATCTCTAGTAATAATTTTCATACACCTTATGATAAAGGTCCAAGGTTTGCAACGGCACAAAGTCATAAACTAAAAAATACAGACTTTAGGTGGTAAAAGCACTAGACAAACATTTTCTTTCTATCTTGAAAAAAAAAAAAAAGAAATCATCCCACCTCCTAACTTTAGATATAGTTATATTTAAAAGTATTTCTGTACTCCTGAAGGGTTTAAGTAAAATAAAAATCCTTCCATCAAAAGGGTGGCTGGGGGAAGACTTAACTTTTTTTACACTTTGAGGAGCTTCCGTGGAATCAGGGGCGTAGAGAGCATCCAATCACATCGAGTTAAATATTTGAAGCCGTCGGGGACTCGTCCGCATAGTTGCATTCTGTTTGCCATCCTGTTTCCTGGACGCTGAAATAATTAAAATACCATTGCCAAACCCCTGCTTCGCTCTGACTCGCAGGACGATTGTTTGATCGATAACTTCCATGGCCTTTATAGCTTTTTTTTTTTTTTTTTTTTTTCACGCACACTCTCCTCTCCAATGTAATTGCACTCCGAGTCCTTTGGCAGCGTCACCTCCCGTAAACAGGTTGTTCAAGCCAGTGACTCAAGAAGAAACAAAATTAAACTATCGCGTTACCTTTGTCCCGTAGAATAAACTCTCGAAAAAAAAAAAAAAAAGTCACCGTTCTCAGAAGACCTGTACTTATTTGAAATTATACCATCTCGGATGGCAGTAGCTATCGCTCAAGTCCCGTAGGTCGGGAAAAGCTGCAATTACGCGCCTGGAAAGCAATAAGGTAAACAAAAAGAAGGGTCAAAGGATCGAGAAACGCGTAATCGCGCAAAGTTAGCAGCTCGAGGGTGTGAGATAAACGCGCAGTAACGGCAAACGGGGGTGAAACATGAAAAATCCCGGCGCTATCCCTCTTTTGCCTCGCGACAATAATTACTCCCCCGGCGTAGAGTCACCGGCAGGGTCTCGCGGGGCAATTTGCGCGCTCCTTATCCGCGCGACCTGCCATACTCCACGGGCTGGACCCCTCGAGGGAGACCTCGGCTCGAGCGAGAAAAGAGTTAATTATTGCCGACACAAAGGAAAGCGATGACGTGGAAAAATATAATGGGACGGGGTTGTTGCTGAAACTGACTGGATTATTCCTTGTCCCATGCATGTCCTCCCCAACATACAAGTATAGCTAGGCCATAGGTATATGTATATCCGGCTAATCAAACGGAACACTCTTCATCTCCCCTCCCTATATGTATCCTCGTTGCGGAGCATTCCAGGGTGTGTGTTTTTTTGCTTTCCCCGGAGCGCGCGCGCGAGCTGTTTGCTGAAAATCGCATTTACGAGTGTGTTTTTAAGCCGAGCCAAGCTCGCGTGATACCATTTTGATGCATTTCTCCGTGAAGGTGGAAGCTTTGCGGGCGCATCCATTGTGCCGAATCCGATGCTCCCCGTAAGCTCTGTGGCAGGTCGAATTATTTTTCACCCCGTCCCTCTTTGCTGTACTCACCGCGCAAATTGAAAGCGCAACGCGGTAATGGTGCGCTGAGTCATGAAATATTAGTCCGTGGAAAGCGAGTTTTGCAGAATTTCGCGGAATACATACCTTTCCCTCGTATCGGAGCTCTCCTGCATTTTTTACTACCCAACTACTGTTGTTTCACGAAAGTTCGGTGTTAATAATTGACTCTGCGTGACTCGGCGCTCTGCTCCGCGATAATCTGTCGTTTTTGTAATTACCTGCCGTTCCGAGGGAAAACTCCATTAAGGTTTTGCCCCGTGCGCCCAGAGTTGATTGATTAATTATTTGAAATTCTATCGAATAAACCTGTCACGACGAATCTATGCCGGTCGGGGTCGTCGGGGGTAGTCGACGAAAAAGAAAGCGCTCATGAAACCAAAAAATTTATGACTGCCCTGACAACATTTTTGTACAAATCAGCAATCGTACCCAGAGTAACTTAACTTGGCTTCACAGTTTTCGAGAATTTAATTATTTATTCAACACGTACTATTACGGGAGATGAACTTACGAAAAAATGTAAGACTATACTGAAAGTGAGATGTATTTAAAATAAAAAAAAAAATAAAAAGAAATGAGACACTCAGAAGCTATGTTTAGTATCGTGTGGTACTTGGATGAAAAATCAAAAGATCGTGGGACTCTGTATGGTACATCAGGGCACTTTTACTATTCGGAAGATCAACGTAATCGGTGTAGTACCTGTACCCTATAGGGTATACAGCAACGACCCACCGATGATCATTGGACGGAAACCAGAGCCACTTATGACCTGTAATTTTAATTAAGCCAGCCGCCACCGCGTTAACTGCCCCACCCTCGGCCCCATTCACCCCCGTCTCTCGTGTTTTCGCTCGGGCGTCGGTGCACCATTGCAGCGCCAATGAGGATGTTCAAGGAAGAGGAGGCGGGGGTGAGTGGTGCAGGAAAAACCACAAGACCCGCGCGATTCGGCTCTCGCTTCCCCCGTACCTACATTTCCGAGTTTGCGTGTGCAACTGCTCTCTCGCTCCCCCCCCCCATCCCGCTTGTCACCGTTAGTGGCGACCTGGTGTGCTAAACCGATTAGCCTTTTTCTTCGAGGCTCCGAATAAGGATCAGTAGACGACAATTGGGCTCTATGATCAATTTACCTCATGATGTTTACAGTATGAGTACAAGTACCAATGGACCCTCGATGTTTCATTGTCCGTAGCTGGGATGTCAAGAAAAAAGTTTACATGCTACAAATAATATACATACATACGTAATAAGATAGAATTTGATAATTATGTTAGTACTCCATTTAATACACAAACATCGTACAAAACAATCAGCCAATTGGATAAATCGCGATAATTGCACGTTAAGCGAATTATCAATAATCCCCGGATATTAATAATTATGAAAATTAAATTGCATTAGGATATAAACGTAACTTAACGAGTAGTGCTTTGCACCCTTGCACACTAGTACGTGGGTGTCCCGAGCAGCTCAAAGTATATACATTGATAATATTAACCAAAGTCAAAAACGAACAATCCCATTAACGTTGGCCGCCCGTACTTTTGAACTTGAATGGTCGCTCGCGCGAAATAATCCAACTCTCGACTTCTGTTTAACTTCAGCTCGACTCATGTGTCATATACCGTACGCCAGTGCAACCATGATTGTGCGGATTTAACAAATTAATGCCCAAATACAAACGCAGTTAGCGGTAATCGGGTGACGTGTCGAATCGCGCTAGTTGCCCGACTCGCTGTCCCCGGGAGCGTAAAATTAATAGCCACTGAAATTTAATTAATTGCCCTATACTGGCCCCAACCCCACCCCACTCGGGCACGAGTACACACTAAAAAAGAATCGTAAAACCATTTCAACCCCAAGTTCAACGCACACACACACGCGCGTGTTTAATTCTCGATTGCGAGCAAACGTGGCCACGCGGCTCATTATTATATTAATTGAGTGCAGTTGAAGCTATATCGTAAGCTTTCAATGCTTTTATTCAATTAAAAATCAATGGGTATCCCCTGTAAGTGCAGCTGGTGTTGGGTATATATAGGTACAATTTAACGAATGAACCGAGGTTTGGAAATTATAATAACAATGATCGGGCAGTATCGGCGATATAACGATAATCGGAGGGGTTGGGGGTGATAACGATACCGATGAAAGCGCGGCGATAAAGATGATAACGCGCAATGGTAAATTTCAGGGCAGTCGGAGAGCGGGAGGCGGCACTCGGTGCTGGTGTTCGTCCACGGGGAGAGCTACGACTGGGGTAGCGGCAACACGTACGACGGCTCGGTCCTGGCGAGCACGAGCGAGGTGGTCGTCGTGAGCCTCAACTACCGGCTGGGCGTGCTGGGCTTCCTCAACGCCAACGTGTCGCCCCACACCAAGGCCCGAGTGGCCAATTACGGCCTCATGGACCAGATAGCGGCCCTCCACTGGCTCCAGCAGAACATCGAGTACTTTGGGGGCGACCCGAACAACGTCACGCTCATGGGACAGGGCACTGGTGCCGCCTGCGTCAACTTTCTCGCCATCAGCCCGACCGTCATGCCCGGTGAGCTTTACATAATATACAGTGTTACGTGTGCCTCCCGTCTACGACTATCGCCATCTTCTCCCACTCACCTTGCATTTTCTCGTCCTCGAGTGCTCGTAGCTTTAATTGCTGATTTCCATGCCGGTTATTCCAACTTGCCATGGCAAGTATTGATCGAGGCGAACTGCAAGTACATGTATACATGTTACGCGTATGTACACGGTAGTGCCTCCCTTTTCAGACATTACGTTCAGCCTCAGAGGAGGAGATTATTTTTCAAAGCCCTCGGGTCGCGGATAATTGACTTTTATCAGGAGAGTTTATCATCGATCGTTGAAAATACATGTTATTACGTTCCTCCGTTTTGCGCCAACTAGTACAAAATTAACATTTTTTCACAAATGCGTGGTTACACAAAAGAGGAATGACAACTATACTCGTGTGGATGTGCACGAGACGTAGAGTCCCCTAGTCCATAGCTAAAATAAGTATACAGTTGTAGCTGAAATGTGCATGAAAAAAAAAGAAAAAAAAATTACGTACCACATGGTAATAATAATGATGATGATGATGATGATTATATATTCTCTGTAACGAGCGCAGGTCTATTCAAGAGGGCGATCCTGTTGTCGGGGAGCGCGCTCTCGTCGTGGGCTGTGGTGGAGGAGCCGTCCTCGTACGCCCTGAAGCTCGCCCGGGAGGTGAACTGCTCGATACCCGGTGACCTGCTGAGGGACCACGAGCTCCTGGTCGACTGTCTTCGGGAGAGCAGCCTCGATGCCCTCCAGCGCGCCGACATCCGGGCCCCGGCCTTCCTCAGCGCCTTCGGGCCCAGCGTCGACGGCGTCGTCATAAAGCCCGACTTTCAAAAGGACCTGCTCTCCTACCTCGGCCCCGAGTACCAGTACGGATACGGGTGAGTGCCCCAACAAAGCCACCAACTTGCTCGCAACCACGCTATGTCCGCGCGCATCGGACCGCGTATGTACACTCGCGGGTGCTCATTGTTGAAGCGCCGAGCAAAGTTTCGCGGAGCCAACTCCGAAGCTATTGTTCACCCGACGCGTCCAGGCATCATTTTTCACTCTGTGCGCGCGTGTATAAAAGGCGGGGGGGTAACTTTTTGCCATCGAGATGCTGCGTGAACAGTTGATGGCTCACGTGTTCCTTCGAATAATGGCCAATTTGGACCGAAAACGGTTGAAGCGAGAGATGAATGTAATTGTGTGAGGGAGGGGGGGACAACTCGAGTGACATTGGTTTTGTTTGTTCCAGGGTCCAGTCGAAGAAAACCGAGCACGGCGAGGCCATAACGAGCAACAACAAGTACGATTTGTTATTCGGGGTGACAACGAGTGAGGCCCTCGGGAGATTCGCCGAGCGAGACATACAGAAGGGCTTCGAGGGCGAACGCCGGGACAGAATTATAAGGACCTACGTGAGAAACGCCTACACGTATCACCTCACCGAGATATTTTACACGGTGAGACAAGATGCTCGTACATGTACAACGTTTACGAGTATGTATATACCATTGACGGTAGACCCCTTGTCTCCCTCCCTGTACGCGCTTGTCTATTATACTGAACACTGTTTTTTTTTTTTTTTTCCCATCCACACCCTGTACATCCTTCACGACGTACAAGTACGCCTGTAGCTGCTCGTCCATTGTCTCGAAGACAAAAACGATAAAAGATGAGCAGCTGCTGGAAAATTTTCGATCGAGGCGAGAGCTTTTTTTCAACGCGTACATCGTGTCACTCATTTCAACAACTTCTCGCGATTCCTCTTCTTCAAATTGTAAAAAAAACTCCAGCCCTGCGTACCTTTGATCGTTCGAGTAATTGTAGTGTAAATTTTATTAAAACATTTGGGAGACCCAAGCAATAACTCTGTTTACGCGGAATAATTTTATTTATTTATTTTTTTTTATTGACTCTCTGTACGAACGCGGTCCAAACGTTCATTTGAACAATTTTTAATTACCCCTTTGAACGCTCGACTGGTGTATTTATTCACGAAAATTAGTTGAACTACTCCACAACAGCGTTCCCTGCGTGCACCTACAAATTCAATAATGATGTTAACTTTTAATTATAATCACCAGATCAATGCACCGTGAATTTCATGCCGGTTCAACGCAAGACTTTGAGAACGTTATTATTGGCAATTAATACAAATTAATCAACACATCACAAATTATTGCAGTTTTAAAAAGAGAAGTATCAACATGAATTGGCCGGCTTTGTAAAGGTATACGGTATCAGAATCGTATGCGAGCTCGATTCGTTTGATTGGACTTGCGTACGTGGATTACTGCAAATGAGCTTTAATTAACGATACGCCCCTGAAGCACTTTACCCTACTATAGCTTCAAATACCATACACCTTCACAAGGGGACGCTATTTTCTTTATCTCAAACTACTTTATCTTCGTTTATTCTTTGACTATTTATTTTATTTTTATTGTTTGCCGACCGTGTACGGCTGACCATGATTGATTCAATGAAATTTCCATTTTAATTCTCACATATATCGGCTGTCGCGCTGTAAACTTGTGCAAAATCCATTCATTCGGATCAGCTACCTTATATTAAAAGCATATGCAACCAACTTCTCTTTCATACAAAGTGAAAATTCTGTACTTATACCTGTCTGAATTGAATGGCAAGCAAAGCCGGCATCGATAATCAAAACCACAATCGTGCCAATGAAAGTGCCGGTGGCAGCATAGGCAATGGTCCCAATGGAGTGGCGCAAACGTGCATGAGCTCGTTCACGGGCTGTCTCCCAAAATTAGTACTGGCTAATGGTACAATTGGCCCCAAACGTGCGTGGTGCCGTATGACTGCGCCACGTCGCGACCACAGCGAGAGCAAATCGAGTCGCATCGGAAGCAGGACCTCCTGCGGCAAACACCGATCGGGGGTGTGTTATACGGTTCAGCCGCGGTGCACAAGGTGATGATGCTCGAGGGCGTTAAAAGGCGTTACACCCGACCGCTGGCCGAGCAGAAAGTAATCCATTGCTTCGTCTAACGCGCGAGAGCGCATACGCGTAATTCCAGCCGTCGTACTCAGCTGCAAACTTGATTATCATGTACATTTGGCAAATGCATTTCGGTGCTCGGTGCGCATTGTTCCTCGGGCCTTTTTTCAGAAAATTTGAGGCTTAATGCGTCCCGGCGCGCGATAATGGCTCCATAATGAATACCCGCCTACCCTTAAAACTTTTCCATCCATCCCGACGTTCACGGGAATATTTAATGCCACTCGTGTCGAATGGTTGGGTTTTGTTACCGCGAGTGGTTTTCTTTCCTCTGTTGTTACATAAATTAAAAACAAGAGCTCACGGAGTGGATTTACTTGAAAACCAAAACGAGAAATACACGCAGGGGTGAAAATAAATGAGCCGGTGAAACCGGTGTCCGTTTGAACGCCATCGGGACATTATTGATGGAGAGCGCCATTCGAGCTAAGCTGTACCGGGCTCCAGTTGTTTTTTGCGAATCGCGAGCTTCAAATGACGCGTGTACGCGTGTATACGTATACTTTTGCACACAGGCGTCAATTACCCGGCCATGCGAGCTTTTGCGAGGGCTTTTACATCGCGAGTGATTTCGCGTCGGGTCAGCGGAAAAATTTACGGTACATTAGCGCGCGTTAAAATTACAGGCTCAGGTGAGCACTGCTGTTCCCGGCAAAGCTCCGCGGAGCTCAGAACAGTGTTTTTTTTTTTTGTTTTTTTTTTTTTTTCGTTCGCTAACGAGCCTTTTTGCGTACGATGCATTATCAATTCGCACGCGGGCAACATTCTCGTTTCGAGCAACACTTCAATTGAACCAACAAAACGCATGAGCCGAAATTTCAATGTCTCCTAGAAAATGTTTCTAAAACTTCATTCAATTGTGTATTGAGCAGGTGGAAAATATAAACCAATAACATTAGTATAGATTGTATTTTACAATCCGACATGAACAGACTACAGACGGAAAATACGCATGACTGCGATGATACGTGCATTTGACGCGCGTCTGACCAAACACGGCTTGTACTACTGAAATTAACATGCATACACCCAGCGTTGCAGTTTGATATAATAGTGGGTGTTGCAACGATGAATATACGGTAGATAAGTACGGATGATTCTAAATATATATTTTTGTATTGTCTTGTAAATTGTTTAGATAGTGAACGAGTACACGGACTGGGAGCGGACGGTGCAGCACCCGATGAACACGCGGGACGCTTGCGTCCAGGCCCTCAGCGACGCCCAGTTCGTAGCGCCGCTCGTCCAGACCGGCGACCTCTTCACCCTCAGGCACGCAAAGAGGCCGAGCGGAGGGCACGCCTCGACCTCGGCCCACGACACCAGTGCCGCCGATAGGGAACCCTCGCCCAAGACCTACTTCTACGTCTTTGACTACCAGATGAAGGACGGCGACTACCCCCAGGTATTTTTTACGGAAATGGTGGGAAAAATTTTGCTGTCATGTAACAATGTCGATCCCCCGTCTGTAGCCAAGGAAAATTAATTATCTCTCTGTAATCTCGAGCGTTTTGCAATGTGCGCTCTTCCCTGCCAGGGGAGCAAAAATACGTATGAAAAGGAAAAAAAAGGGGGGGAAGGGGGGTGATGAAAGAAGCGCAATCTCCGCTTTCATCCCGCACTAAGCCTAGCTGACGCGAAACAAAGTGAAACGAAGCAAAGGGAGGTAAAAAAGAGGAGCCCAACAACTGCAAGCCGGAAGGGGGAATAGATAGATACGGATGGCTCCGTAATATCGCGCCGGACGTCTTTTCTCGGCCGATAATAACCACCCTCGTCCACGAGCTCCGTGTAATAAGAGGAATCGGGTTGGATCCAGCCGAGCTTGAAAAAACCCGGCCGCGCTCGGAGGTGATATTTAATTAAAGCGATTCAGCCCTCCCCCTCCGTTTACGCTCGGTCGCACGTGTAGCGTCCCTCGAATTTACAAAGTTCCCCGCATTTTTCAGCCTCACCTCCACCCAATAACACCCTTTTTTTTTTTTTTTTTTTTGTTGGGGAAACTCTTGATGGTGCCGATTTACTTTTACGTGCCGATCGCGATTCAATTTGAAGAGTCAATCAATTTTGCGAAACTTTCTTTCCCCCCCCCCCTCCCTACCCCCTCCATCTTTCTACTTATCGTTCGTATCCGCGAAAATGTTGTTTCATTTCCCTTACTAACGAAACACTCCTCGACCGGCTTTTCCGTCCATCCGTTCATCAATCATCCGCTCTTTGAGGAGTTAGCGGGGAGAAAAAAAGATAAGGCGGCGCTATGTATGGCACACTCGTGGAATAACGGGGCCCTTTTAACGAAGCTCGTTACACAACTTTTATCCCGAGCCAGTGGCAAATCCTATGGTAATAAACAAGCGAGCGTGCGAGAGCCGAGCGAAAACTTTTCCTCCTCATCCCTTTCTTTCCCATCCAGCCCGGAGTAGCCAGGTATGGTACACCACTACGGGGTGACGCTTCTTTATCCACATACTTTGTCGAGTTTATATGTATACATATACCTACAGTGCGCACGTACTCATAGAGTACGGCTTGTGTACGCTCGTAAATTGCCCGGCAGAGGTGTTCCAACGCGTTATCGTACGCATAATTCCTCGCGGCTAATCGGCGGGACACTTTATTCCCCGACTCTGTTTCGCATTCAAGAGAATTTCCTTGCGTCGAAGTAACACACCCACCCACTTGTTTCTCTGGATAATTGTTGCCGACTGAGGATGGAACATTTAAAATAAAAAGAAGACGAGCCAACGGTGTAGGTGCGAAAAAAAATCCCTTGAGGAGGCTCGACAGGTATAACCAAAAGACTCGATTTAGCAGTAAGTTATTGCCGTGAGAAATAAGTTTACCAGCTGCGTCGAAAGTTTTGAAAAAAAAAGCCGCGTACCCCAATTCTTCTCCTTCGCAGTTCTAAACCATCCTCCCCCGTACCTATATAATACATTGCAAAGCGGGACAAAATGACGAATAACGGTAACGAGGAAACTTGCCGGCTGTCTGCCGGGGCCGAATAAGTTTCGCTCGAGTTGTGCATGCGGTACAACTTTGTGCGAGCGCGCGAGTGGGAAAAGACGACTCGGAGGGACATGCGCGAAACTTTCGCGAATTTTTGTACCTCTAAGGGGCGAGGGGGCTCTTTTCTTCTCTTACTCGCGTGACAAATACAGCCAGTCCGCCTGAGAATGATTGTTTTCGGGAATCGATGGAGCCATTCTTTAACTCTACAAAGTGGGGGAAGGGGGGGGCTACGTCCTCCGAACGCGTGAATAATCTTGGAGAAATTCCACCCGAAAGAAATCGAAAGCGTATTTTTTTGAACGCAACTTTGAAAGTTCGGCCGATGATTTACAGGTGGCTTGGGGCATTTGCGATTCATTCGGGGGATAATGCCCCGTTCCAAAGTTACTGGAGCGAAAAAAAAAAAAATAAACACGCGATCATCGGCGCGAGGCGGTTTAATTTGAATTATCTTTCGCCGATGCTCTTCCGCTCCGACTACCCGTTCGGAGATCCACCGAAAAAATCCAAACTTTGCGAGCCGACCCGCGGCGACGAGTTCCAAAACAAATCGGCAATCGCCCGAGAATTCATCACTCCTCCGATTAATCCCCCGGCAAAGTCCCGACGAAGACGATAAGCCGGAAGAAGCGCGGACTCGGCTGAACTCGAAAAGAGACTTTCCGAGCCTGACTGAGGGGGGGAGGGCGATTAAAAAAAAAAAAAAAGAGAGGAGGGAAAAAAAATTGAAAGATAATGAGAGTGCTCGCGCCGGGCTTTGATAAGGCACGCCGAGGCGAAAAGTCGAGTCTACTGGAGCACGAAAGGGGGGGGGGGCACAGAGTCTCGCCAGTAAACAATGCCGGCGTGATTTCTTCGGGGGGTGGCGTCGAGCTGTCGTCTGAAAGGAGCCCTGCAAGCGGTGGCTCTTCGAGAGTCTGAGGGTCTCCCCCTCACCGGCAAGCGAGCGCCACTCCGGGGCTCGATCATTTTCCACGGGGTTTCCCGCGCGAAACGGAACAACAAAACAGTCGCGAGCCAACTAATTGAGACGCCGCTGTTTGGCGTGTCCCTCCGAGTGACTGGAATGCAGAGGAAGAAAAATGTAATTTTTATTTATCATCTGTACCACGTGTGAAATCTCGCACGAGAGTGTGGGGGAGTAAACTTGTCGGCGCGCGATTATCCCGAGAGGTCGGGACGGGAAAGCCGTGTGTAATCGCGCGTTGTACCGTCAACGGGTCCTCAAAGCGGAGCTCCCTCGATACACGCGCGTAATTGGCCCCGACCCTCTCGGCATCCACCGCACATTTTTTTTTTTTTTCTTCTTCGGTCCTTCGCTTTGGCTCCGGGCAATCTTGTCGGCGCTTTTCCAGGGGCTCTCCAGATTTACACGTCGGCTTTCCCCCCCCCCCCCGTTGACTTTCAACTCCCCGTGTTTCTAAAACGTTTTCTCGCCCCCCCCCCTTCGCATGCGTTCCTATAGCTAATCCCGTGTGCGAATAGTTTCCCTTCTCCGTCTCTCGTCCGCTGGCCATGGGGAGCAGAGTTTTCCCTTGATTGCCTGCCAACGCTGTGAATCTACAATATTCACCTTGCGATCAGAAACGTTTGAGTAATGCGAATTTTCGTTTTTTTACCTCGCCCATTCGTCTTTTGATTGGTCGATCATCAGTAGCCAACAAAGAAGTTTCGCGATGAACCTCGTAAAAAATTAACATTACGTGACATATTTGGTTGAGTTCGATCATTCATTTGAAGGTGGATGGCACGTATTACTATGATGGTACAATAGACATGCTCAATTTGGAGACAACGAGTTGCACGAAACAGTACAGCATTTTCAAAATAAACATATTGGACGGTCCGTCAAGTGTAGCTATACGAATAGCATTGACGAATGGAAATGAAGCCGCCCCACGACCATTAGGGGCCATCGTGCTTTCACGCGCGAGGAGTCCCCACAGGCAGCGTATAGTGCAAGATGTCAGCGCACTGGAATTTCACGCGGCTCCCGTCAACGACTCATTCGTTCCGAAGTTTCCTGCGAGCTTTCGCAAACACATTTGCCGAACGACAACCGAAAAAGCTGCCGGGAATAAACAAAAACGGAGAAAACGCGAGGGAGAAAAAGTACTCTCTGCTCCGAACAGTAAGAGAAAAACAGCGAGAGAGGGAGTAAATAAGAAAAAAAAAAAAAATTACCACAAAGGAGGAGAGAGGCACTGCAGTATATCAAGGGGAGAGAAAGAAAAATAAATTCTCGAAAATTAAGAAGGCAACCGGCTCTATTCGCCCGTTGGCGCAAGGGTTGGGAAACAAGGGAGGGAGAAAAAAGAAAGCCCTCACACGTCCAGCCGCAGTAGCAGCGCTTACGGTAAATCTTCGGGGGGGGGCGAAGTTGACGTTTCGCGAGCTACATCCACCCTTTCTCGCGCCGCGTGCGTGTACAAAGAAATTTCAGGGCTTCCCCGGTGGAATTCCTAGCACGTCCGCCGTTCTCCATCTTCCGCGTTGTCGGTCACCTTCTCCCGTAAGGTAGTGGAGAAAAAGCCCCATCGCCGGGGACAAAAGGTGCAGAGACGCGCGTCGTACACCGGTGAAAGGGGCAGAGCAGCTTAGCCTCTCGCTGCACGAGCGTGCCGTGGTATACAGGATGTTGGGGGCCGTCAAACCTTATAATCTTCATCCTCGGCTCTTTCGACTTTTCCAAATCCCCCCGAGCGCCGCGCTTCCGCGCCGAGCTTTTTTCATATCTGCTCTTGGAAAAAGTGTCAACTTTTATGGCCGGCCCGATGGCTCGGCAAACATTTTTCGCAAAGACGTTTATCTCACTCGCGGCTACATTCCACTGGCACTCCAAAGGCAAAAGCAATACGAGGTTGTACTTTCCGACTGACGATTAACGCCTTAGTCATACCCTCGTATGGTTCTTTCTCCGGATGGATCTCGTTGATTTTTTTCTGCCCGAGGAGTTGCAAAAGCTCCGTAGTCAACTCTGACGTTTACCCTCGCCACTGGAGCTGTATACGTGCACTTACTCCTGGAAGGAGTTGATGCTTCGTTTTCATCATTCACCATTAGACTCGGGCTTTCTTAGCCTTTTCATAGCTCCGCTCGGTGTGGAAAAAGTACATCAGTACAGAGCATAAATTGAGATAAACACGCCCGCCTAGACATTGACGCGCGCACGAGGCACTGGTTGTATAATGTACGGCGGCGCAAAGGAGAAGAGAAATGTAGCAGAGCAAATTCATTTTTGAGACTCTCTCTCGCGCGTTTACCTCGGCTCGTCAGCTCTTTTGCTCCATACATATATATGTATACGTGTATCCCGGGGGGACTCTTATACATCCCGCGGCTTTTCCATTTCAACGCTGACGCTCCTCCATTCTACTTTCGACTGGCGCTAAAGCAAATTTAATGAAAAATTTTTGCCCGACCCGACAAAAAACCTGAAACCCCCGTGACGTTTGATTATAACTCCGGGGACACGCTTCTTCTTCGCCCCGAGGTATATTGCTTACGTGACCCTCTCTCTTTTCGACTACACACGGTTTGTTGCCATCGGAGCTCTTGGAAACTTTGTCCTTCTCCGCGTGTAATATGACCTCGTCCAACTGGTACGTGACAATTAATTGTACGGGGCCATGGGAAGTGAAAACTCTGTTGCATTGCCTGCACTGTATACGAGCTAATGAAATATAAAAAAAAAAAGGGGAGGGGATGAAAGTATTGGGTTACTTTGAATGAATAATGTCTCTTACTTTACAAATCAGTCGCTGGCCGTTGTATCTCGTCTTCCCGAGGCGTCCTCGTCGAGGAGTTTGAGCGCGAAAAGGAGGGGCAATATGAGCCGCTGCTGTTATTGCTCCCGAGATATATATAATATTGAAATTCAGAGCGAAGCCAGATGGATTTATCTTGTCCCTCGTCGTCGAGTATGCAAATTAATACAAACAGCAGCAGCCGAAGCGTTTGATGAGCTCCAAGTGAAGGCGGTGACGAACAGGGAGTGACAAGAAAAGAACAATATTCAAGACGATGAGAATTAGTTTAACTCGGCGAGGGAAAATGCAAACGAGAGCGTCGGACAAAGCGGAGAATAAGAGATAGAGCAATGGAAAACCTTTTTTTTTTTTTTTTTTTTTTTGTTTCATCCAACAACAAAGATAAGTTGGCGCCTTTAGCGCGATGGAAAAATGTTTCGATTAGCTCTGGCTTTCCGCTGCCCCAAAAAGAAACGTGCAGTCACGTAGAGCGCGTCAATTTTCTAGCTCTTTTTACGCAAAATTACGGCGATAACCTTTTTTTTTTTTTAAATAAATTAGAAGGAAAGCTGGAGTTGCCGAAGAGAGAGAGAGGGGGGGAGGGAGGCTGGCAGTTTTATTGGAGGTTTTGCCTCCCGGGCAATAACGCACTCGCGCGTACAGGGACTCGTGACAAAAGGGCGGTTTTAATCAAAGGAGAGAAAAATTGTCCGCCAGCGGGCCTTCATGCGTGTGCAGAAGGGTGAGTCGGTCGGAGTTGCGTCACGCGACATATTTTCCACTAAAATCCTTTTTTCCGGGTTTAATTTTTTCTTTCCTCGTCCCGCCTGGGCAGCCTCTCTTCATTCGTCGGCAAAAGTCATCCGGCAGCAAAAAACCGACCAACCCGTGTACGCACCCGAGCTCTTCTTTTTAAGCTGTACACTCCGTACGGCGACGCGGGGCTTAATCATACACCCTACGTTATTTCTCCTCTCTAACGCTGCTGTACGAGCGCTGTTTTTTTCCGATTTGACGGCTCCTTTGAAAAATCAACTCTGCCCCCCTCCGAGTATTTATCGGCTTACACGCGGAGCCAGTAGATGCAAGCAAAGAACCTTTGAGTTTGTTTAACGAAGGCTCGTGACTACCCCAGGGAGGATATGAGCGCGTTTTTTCTTTCATCACGGGTCCAACATCCATCTGCAGCTATTCGGTGGCTCTTTTCCTTTGAATTTTCGGAGATTCGGTTTCTCTGTCTCTTACGGCTAATTGAATGCCCAACTATTAATGTGACACGTCCGTTAAATCAACACGTGCTCTCTCTCGTGTACGGATTATTTGATACGTGGCGTCCCTATCGGTGCGCGTTTGCTGAAAAAACCAAGCAAAATTGTTTCATACGACAATTAAAATCACGATCGAGCATGAAAATTTTCGATTTGATTATTGTTGCCGATTGAACGAAAAAGCAGCCCAAAAAGAACCTGTACACGAGTAACTATGCTAATTCATGACCACTCAAAGCTCCAAAAGAGGGGGGGAGGGGTGGAAAAATGTTTGTATGTATTAATCGGCCGGGAATCGCAAGCTCGTACCTCCCAATGTTCCGCCCGAATGAAAACGTGGGGTTTAATCACCAATTACGCGCTTTACAGCCTCGGCTGGGAATATTTTAATGAGATCCCCGGTGCCTAATGAACATCGACTGCTCGCTTAATTTGTTTCGCGTCGAGGTAGCGCGTCGATGTAGAAGCGAAAAATTTAGAAAAGTGTTTTTTAGCCTCAACCCCCCCCTGCCAGCCAAGGCAATTAGTTCCAGTCGCGGGAAACCCCTACTTTGGAGCGCTAATCCTACAAACCCTCCCTCCGAAGGGCTTATTGAGAAGAAAAGAAAAAAAAAAATGATCCGAATTAATTGGCGTGGGATGAAATATCACGTAAAGTGCAATAAATGGTCCCTTTGTGCTTGCAGCGGATGGGCTCGGTGCACGGCGAGGAGCTGCCCTTCGTCTTTGGCGCGCCATTAGTCGAAGGATTCGGCCACTTTCCCAGGAACTACACGAAGCCGGAGCTCGTGCTCTCGGAGAGCATAATCCAGTACTTTGCCAACTTTGTGAAGACCGGGTAAGTCGACTATACTACATTTGCCCCCATATATTATATATACCCATACATTGCACGCACACACGTACACGCCCATATAAACATTGTTACTTTGTTGTTCGCACTGCGCAACTGGGAAAATAAGCCTACCGTACGTGTATGTATCCCTAAACACGTACACACATGGATACATTTGCACCCATCGTATGTATACCAGATTGGATGCCAGTGCGTGCGAACTTTGCGTTTAATTACCTCGTGGGATTTCTCAGCCCACCCGCTCCGGTATGTTTTCGTACGGCACGTACAATCGCGTAATCTATTAGTTGGATTAGCTCGCATCGTTCAACTAATGGCTCAAATTAGGTGTACTTCCAAAGAGTGTACGTATCCACATTTTAAACCGTACGAACGAAACAACGATTCATTGAAATTGTACGTTTGAACGCGATTAGATTTTTTTCGTCCGACCCAGACTGAATGCCGTACGCAGTTTTTGGTCCAATCGAGTGATGGGGGGAGGGTTCATATTTTACGCGTGGAGGGGAGAGAAAAAAAAGGGGGCTCTAATGAGTTGGAATTATTGATGATTCGGTACGAAACGGAGGAGAGTGTATATTCAAAGTCTCTTCATGGGAGGGAGCAACTCTTCAATGGAGCGGGTGCAATCGATGCGAATAAGCGGGTTCCTCGGATGATGGAGGAAGGTAAGTATAGGTAACGAGCCGACGAGGCTTAAAAGAGGCTCCAAGGAGAAAAGACGACGCGGGTGTAGAGGCTCCTCTTGCCTCCGATGGCTCCCTTCCTCGTCGAGAGAAAAAACCGTAAGGGCAAAGGATCAATACTGCAAAATGTTGAAACGAACCGGGAAATTTCTCTCCTGGCTCTGATCAAAAAATTCTCGTAAGCTCAACCCATCGTCTCTAAAAGCAAAATCTTCTTTTCAACCCCAAAACAGTACCAACATGTATACATAATTTACATGGATAGGTGAGCAATTTAATTAACGTCGAGCGAAACCGAAGCAAAAACCTCGTATTTTTCTACAGAGAATCTCCGGCGTAGGGATTTTCTCCCCAGAAACGTCGATAAAAGTAGCAACTCTGGCAGGGAAAGAGTAATCGGATTATCGGCACACAAAATTTCGCAACAAATCCCGTTCATCAAAACTTGTCGCTACAGATGCCGCACAGTGGAAGTGGGGGAGGCGGGGGGGGGGGTTGAATCACGCACGGCAAACTGGGATGGGGCCGAAACTCGCGAGAGAAGCACGTAAGGTGTCACGTGTTTGGCTGCAAGACAGAGATCGGGAGCGTCGCATCCACGCCGTACGTACACACACGTATAGGACGTAATGCCAAAAACTTGTACCGGCGACATGTGCGAGAAGTACGTGAAGGGGGTGGGTGTAGCGCATGAATATGCAAAAGCTCGCCGGCGAATCGGCGATATTTCAAGTCCAGTCCTCTCCGACCGTGGGGCGCCGAACTGCTGCGCGTCGGGGCTGTTTCCCATCCTCCCTTTCGTCTCTTTTTGGTGGAAAGCTCGCGAACTAGTGACGCGCGCGAGAGCAAGCTCCCAAACAGCTGCGCACCCACGGTGGCTCTGTCTGCCGTTTACGATGGGGTCAATAGGAGATCTGCTTTTACTCGATATATTTTTGCACTATCGCGTGAAAAATTTAAATAGTCATTACATTACAAGTACATAGAACTCATTGGCAAACATTGGACTCTTTGTAATCTGTGGAAGACGCGAGCAGGTATTTTAGAATGCGCGTATACATGTATACGTAAGTTATCGGCAGGGAGATCGAATTGAATAAAATTGGGGGATAAAAGTGGAGGGGTGGCTTATTGGGGAAAGTGGGCACTCGGATGTGACGCTGTGGAGGGATGCGAGTGCGCGTCGAGCCGTTTTAAACCGATCGGCCGACTGCCTCTTTGGGGGGAATCGACATTATCGATTCGTCCAAGCACAGCCGTTTTTCTTTCTTTTTTTTTTCCTCTTTTGCCACTTTCGCATCTGTGTTTGCGGCTGCGACTGGTAAGTAAGAAAATATCGGAGGAACGAGTTTATTTGAATAACGACTCTATAACCGAGCCAAAGACGATATAATGTACTTTTTTCCTGCTTCCAATGTCAGAAAAAAAAAAAAAAACAAGTTTGCTCTAAAACTATTTTCAAATAAATTCTCATCGATCGTGGCTACGTGTGGATGAGCCAAATTTCTTGTGATGAAATTTCATTATTTTTATTGAGTAGTATAAATGTATTAAACAATCAACGGAGTACAGCTCGACGGACAGGCGGATGACTCGATGGAGCTAAAAAAAAAAAAAAAAAAAGTTTCGATCAAAGTGAAATTTTTTAAACTTAATGATTGATGGGTGTTTCAGTTGCTACTTCCAGATCAGGATGATTTATTGGACATTTCGCAGAGAGTTAAAGATGCCAAATTTTAAACGTTAGTTAAAAACTCAACATTTCCCAGACTTTTGAAATTTTTTTGCAATGTAATTTTTCGCTGAAAATACACCGTACTACTTGAATAAAAAGAAAATTCAGGGAAAAAAAGAGAGTCGAAATAAATTTAAGCATTTGATTTGAAATGATTCGCGATAAAATGTAACACCTCACATGTATTGTACTTAACCTGCCGCGAAAAAAATTGTCCTCGGTATTATATTGTGTGAAATAAAGTGAAAGGGTTTAAAGATCCATAAAAAAAAAAAAAAAAAAATGATCACCAGAGTGAGCGTAGCCAACCAGCAACATAGACCTCGACGATACATATTTCCCGGGAGCGATAAGCGAGCAGAGCAGGCGATGCTCACGGGTTGAATTTTTTTTTTTTTTTTTTTTTTTCACTTCCAAGCGTCACTTGCGGCACCAGCAGCCGGTAGCGGAATGCAGATTACGCACAAAACCTACACAGCCCCCTTTTTTTTTTTTTCTTTACCTCTAGTGCAGCCGCCGGTGTGGCACGTTGTCCCTCTCTCGCCTCCATCCCCGTATGCAAATGATGATCGAATGGCCGGGGAGATGCATTATTCGTCGAACAAAGGGGGTGATCCGGGAGTGTGATTCCAACTATAATTTAGCATAATCGGCGGAAGCGAAAGTAGCGGCGGATGAAACACACATATATACACGCGGCCCGGCGATTATGCTATTGGTGGGTCCAGCAGCTGGGCAATCGCAAACAGCCGTACTTTACCCTCGTAATCCCCGAGCAAACGCACCGAATAATGCAGATGTATACGCCATCGCTGGTGCAGCCACCACGGGCAATGCGCTCTCGCCACCGATGTCCTTCCTCCTCCTTCTCCTCCTCTCATCCGCGTATCCGCGGCCTACTCTGCAATGGATTCCCTGGACATGCACGACCACCCCCATCTTTTTCCACCATATTCTGTCTCCTCTGTATTGAATGATTTTTCCGACAACAACGACTATTTTACCTTTATTCATCCAAACGTGTAAGTAGTAAAAGCAATTACGGGCCAGGGCGCAGGTGGCGGATCCGTTAGAACGAGATGTGCATATATATATACATTCCGACGAGCAAAACGCCACCAACGAATACCATCGCCATCAGATGCCGATTGGAGGGTATATATAGAGAGAGAGAGAGAAAAAAAAAGCAACGGTGAAATACGTTTGAAATCGCATATCGATGAAAGCTGCCGGCTCTGGGATTCCCCTGCCCCGTGTAACGCCCCAAGGCAACTGTATATACACATTCCGCAGTTGGATTAAAATGGCACAGAAGCGCAGACGCGCGAGGCTTTTGAACTACGAGAGTAAAAGGGGATGTGTAACACATAGACGAGGGGCCAAGCTCATTACCCATACATCAGAACGAATCAAGTCACACCGTGTAGAGCTAAGTATCAAGTGATACACACACACTATGTCTACTTGCGTGTACATACACGGATAATAACTAGAGCGTGAACACGCCCGGGCCTTGGTGCGCGTTAACGTCAATGTCAGCCGTCTCAGCTGGTTAATCTCGTCTTCTCCACCCCTCCCCCTCCCCTTAAGTGGCCTAACGTTATGTGTGCAGGCATACACGATTCCCTTTAGCAGCGTACATATACATACCTACATCAGGGCCAGGGCAGGGATGGTTGTACCCGGAGAAGCTGGTAAGCCGCACCTCTACCTGTACGCTATTTAATTCGCGTCACGAATACATAGTTAACCCCGTGTTTTCCGCATCATCCCCGTTGACTTTTGCCAATCCATCATATTTACGCCTGTGGGAAAATATTGTTTTCCACAAGTTGCAATAAATATACCCACGCTGATGGCTGTCGGGAGCTCGTCGTATAAAACTGATGCTTCGAAAAAAAAAAAAAAAAAAAAAAAAAAGGTGCACCAGCTATATGACTGGACCCAAAAATACAGTACGTATAGGTAAGATAAAGGTGCCTAAGCCACGCACGTCCGCACAGTCGCGACGATATATTTATTTATTATCATCGCGCAAGCCCGCGTCGGCCCGTCTAGTACGTGGTCTTTGGCCATTTGTCATCGTTTGCCGATAAACACAGAGAACGCGGGGAAGAGGTATAGGTGCCAAATGGACCAGTGGAGGAGGATCTCCGTCTGCCCGTGCGCGCACCTATCCGCGTCTCGTAATAATTCAGCCTGACTGACGCTAATTCCTACGGCTGTGGGATTATCCCAATGCTACTGGCTCACACCAACCCCCCCCCCCTACGCACACACATTGGGTACCTACCTACGGTCCCTCTCTATTTACCCGTCACCGAAAACGCGATCCTGAACTCTCATCGCGCTGACTTTCCCCGCTTCCCATCGCCAATCGGTATACGTCATATATCGTTGAATCGTTGGAGAGCTGGATACACAGGAGACACGAGCAAAGAGACAATTGGGTACGTTGTTATTCCTTTCGGCAAAGGTTATTCGATTTTTGATGTAGTGACCGTCTCTGAATGGCGCAATACATTTTTATGGGATGAAAGGACGGGGGGTTCGAGATGACG